ATTTCAGGTCCTCCTCAGTTTCAGCAAGCAGGGCTGTGTCATCTGCATAACACAGATTGTTAATAGATCTTCCACCAATCCTGACACCACACTTCTCCTCATAGAGCCCAGCCTCTCAGATAATCTGTTCTGTATACAGGATGAAAAGGTATGGAAATAGGACACACCCCTGGTGTACACTTTTCCCAATTTTGAACCAAGGCAATAGATATTTACAGAAGCAGACTACCAAATCTTTCATCCAACTTGGCACACAGATTCAATGAACAAACAGATGATAGCAGTTATAATTAATATTGTTGGCTGTATAAATTAATGTAGTATACCTTTCTTACCTAGCAATACTGTTGATTAAACAAATGAATGAGATAGTCATTCCTTTCTTTTTTTTTTATTTACAAAGACTTATAATTAAGCTCTAATCATCATCAGAGTCAGAAACATATTTTTCCCCCCTTGGACAGTTTTCTTTTCCAGTTTTGTGAAGTTTGTTCCAAATTTATTTTGGTTCTGAAATGGTGGCTCCATTAAATTTCCACTATAATTAATAATATCAGAACAACCGAGCATCCTTTCTGAAGCTTCAGCTGACATACTTTGGGCATGTTGTTCCTTGGAGAGGGACATCATGTTTGGGAGGGTGGAGGGACGGCAAGGAGAGGAAGACCCTCCATGAGATGGATCAATTCTGTGATTGGGGTAGTGGGAGAGTAAGTGTGCCAGAGACGGCGAGGTTGACACGGGACAGAGCAGTGTTTAGTGCTCTTGTACATAGGGTCATTATGAGTCGCAAGTGATTCAACAGCACATAACAACAACAACAACAACATAAAGGCTACCACACTTTTATGTGTTTTCTCCTCAGTCCACGACTAACAAGCCTTGTGCCCTCTGGGGAACAAGCTTGGATCCGCAGGCTGAACTGTGACTGTTGTCACCATATGGCTTGGGATTGGCAAATGCATGTTTCTGGGACTCAGCTTCTTTTCCCAAAAATTAGAATTACAATCCTTGGCTCCTTCAAGGTCATTGGGAAGATACAATAAGGTCAAGAATGCACATTATAAAAATCCAGGGTAGAGGTGAGAAATGAATATTACTTTACTACGTGGTAAAGTAGGAAAAAAATCACAGTTTAAGGAATAGTAAATTCATCACTAGACTGTAGAAAGTAGGTTAGCTATAAGCTTGGGAAGAACAAGTTATGTTTCACAATCACACTCTCCATAAAGGTCTAAAGGGACCTTTGAGGCTGGTCTTGCCAGGCTTTCACCAGTTGCTTCATAGGGAGGTGTGGATGAAACTTTCACACACCAAAAGGCTAAGCTATAGAAATTCTTTCCCCTTCTAACAGATTATCATCTCTTTCAAAACAGCAACTATCTTTTTTTCTGACCTTAAACAGTAATTCTTTTTCTATGTATATAGGCAACATTTATTTACTATAGAATTAATTCTTAAACTTTCTGAAGATATAAACATATGTAAAGAGGGTAAACTCCTATAATCTAAGGCTTTGAACAGCCTCATTCTGGTTCCCTACTCTACTGGGAGCTACGGCACTCCTTAGAGGCAAGGATGGTGAAATTTCCGCACATATTTTGGGCTTGTTGTCAGGAAGGGCCAGCCCTTGGGAAAAAAGACATCAATCCTGGCAAAGTCAAGGGTCAGTTAAAAAGAGAAAGACTCAATAAGATGGATTGACACAGAGACGTCTGTGTATCCATGAGGATGGCACAGACCTGAAGATGGTGCAGGATAGGTCAGTTTCCATTTGTTGTTCATAGGGCCCATGTGATGAGTGGTGATCAGCTTGACGGCCTCTACTAACACCCCCAGGTATACTGAATCAGTTTGGTAACTACATGTTACCAAATTCCCAGATGAAGGGATCCTCTTACATTGAAGATTGTGATTTAATATATCTGGGGTGGAAATGCAAATTATAAGCAGATTATCAAACTGAGAGTCAAAGCCCTGATATAGTACCCTAAACAGAAATCGTTAACTTGTAACTATAGAGCGAAGTTAGAAGTTTCCTGTAAACGAAATTTTGTATTCAGTTTGGTAAATGTTTCCATGTGATTAAATACTTTCATACATTGTGTTGTTTTATGTGTGGTGGGAGTCAGAACCAACTCATCGCAAGTTTTCAGAAGTTGTGTATTTCACAGGAGATGGCCTCATTCTGCCTTGGAGCAGCTGGTGGGTTTGAACCACCTGACTTAGTGTTGGCAATAGGAGATGGCCTCATTCTGCCTTGGAGCAGCTGGTGGGTTTGAACCACCTGACTTAGTGTTGGCAATGCAACTCCTTAGTAGAGTTGGAACCGACCCATAGGTGACTCTCCAGCGAGTATTCAGAGGCAGTTAATTCGACGGGAGGAGGTTGCCCCTCTTTCTCCCACAAAGCAGCTGGTGGATTCAAACAACACATCGTCAGGATGCCAGCACAACTCCTTACCTCGAATACACAAACTTGTTGCAATTTATTTAACTCCAACTGATATTTCTCTTTTTTTCGCCCAAGTACTGCAATTAACATCTTTGTTACATAAATCTTTCTATATACCCTTGATTATGAATGGCCCAACGGGCATTTGATACATATTACAAATTTTTCCTTCTAAAATGGATTGCTATCCATTTACACTTCCACAGGAAATTTCATCAGATTCCAGTTTTCAGCTTCAAAACTGTCAAAAGCTGAAGAGAACTCTCGGTCCTCACTCTACAGTTTGCTCACGATTTCCCGCCTACTCCACACCTAGGTTGTGAGCGCCGCCAGAACTCTGCACGCTTAGTCCATACTGGACCGCCTCTTCCGTACTTCTTTACGAATTCTGTCCAATAAAAAGCAGTCTTTCCAAATACTTCTCTATGATTGGTAAATTAGGATGTCAATCGCCTCTAGGGGCGGGCAGAATGGACTGACGGATGTGAAAACAGGCCAATGTGAGTAGCGAGCTGGGTGTGCGTGGCGTACGTGGAACGCTGGCCTGAAAGCATTTGACCTGTGAGGTGTACGGTCGGTCGGTCGGTAGGCAGAGGTCTCGGCAGTCATGGCTCCCAACGTTCCAGCGGATGAACCGGCCCCAGAGTATCCTAAAGGCATCCGGGCCGTATTGCTGGGGCCACCCGGGGCCGGCAAGGGTACCCAGGTGAGCACCAGGGCTGGGCCACGCGGCAGAACCCAGGTCAGGTGGCCTGAACTTCTGCACCCCGTATGCCCGGGGACGGGACAGTGGGTTTTGCAACCTGGGAGGCGGGGAAAGGGAGTAAACTGATGGCTCAGGTTCTGGTGAGGCGCTTGGGTGAGGATCCAAAGCACAAGTTGGGACAGTCTGAATTAGTCTGAGTTCTCAAGGGATCCAAAGTGGAGGTGCTGTGTCAGGGGTTTTCAAGGATGATTTAGGGTTTAGAGACGAAATAGTTTGGCAGATCGGTGAATCCAGGTCACCTAGATCGGCTGCTGAGCGGAAGCAAGGAGGGCTGGGACCCAGATTCCCCCCGTGGTAGAGGGTGGCTGGAACGAGTTACGGTGCAGGCGCTAGGGGTGAGGGAACGGACCTGCTAACGATTAATGACTGGAGGTGGAGGGGCACCTCCAGAACCCACCCCAGATAGGGAGCTGGCGCGTGCTCGCCGCCTGGGGAAAAGCTGGGAGAGAAGTCAAATGTGACCCGTGTGAGCCCGTTACGTTGGGGAGATGGGGGAGAGAGCTGCTGCTTGTCCAGAAGCCTGGAGTGAATGTCAACAGGTTTAGGGGCTGAGCATTCAGTGGGAGTTCTATGTAGGCCCTGAAACTTTTATATTGTTATTCTTTAAGCACTCCACCAAGTAGGAATTAACTCCTAACTGACCCTCCAGTCGGTTTTCAGAGGATTTATAAATCGCACGGGAAGATTTTGCCCGTCTTTGCCCCCACGGAGCACCTAACGGATTGGAACCACATACTTTTGAGTTGGCAGTGCCTGATCCTGACTTACCACCCGAGCTCCAAACCTGAAGTAATGTCAGGTTAAGGATTGAAGATGCCTAGGGGACCTCAGGTTAGAGTTTGAGATGAGACAGTTGCTTATAGCTTGAGAAGCTAAACAGCTCATGATAGCTCAATTGTAGAGGAGAGATCATTTGAAAAGCTAATTTTCTTAAATATTACTGTTATTATTAAGTATACAGGTAAGAAAACAGGCACAGTGAAGTCAAGTGGCTTTCCCAACTTACCGGACTTGGTTTATGGAGTTTTGGACCTTAGGAGCCACGAAGCTGTAGAATGTTGGAGTCTAAAGTCCCTTCTGTGTGAAGCAGTCTGTGAGGACCTTCCTTGGTATTTGATCCCCTAGATCTAAACATAATATTAACACGGTTCAGGGTTGAAAATGATTCTCTAGAATACAGAACCCCAAATGTAGGAGTATTAATATTCCCTTGCATAGGTTTTAACTTTGCCCCCTCCCAAACTCAGACTCTTCTTGGTAACTTCTAGAAGAAATTTCTGAAAGCTCTGAACCCCCTAATAAATGGGGTTATGAGGATCTCTTTTGCCCACTTTTCTCATCCTAGTACTTGACAACAATCACAATTTGGCAAACCTTTTTATCCATTCTTGTGCCTCTACCTCCATCCTATACCACTTGACACATTACTTGACATTTGATGTTTTTAGATGCCTTCAAGTAGAGTACGACTCATAGAGACCCTATAAACAGCAGAGCTGAACTTTGTCCTATCCTGTACCATCCTCACAACCTTTGATACACTTGAGCCCATTGCTGCAATCGCTGGGCCAGTCCATCTGGTTTAGGATCTTCCTCCTTTTTGCCAACCTTCCACCTTTCCATGTATGATGCCCCTGTCCAAGGAATACCCATTTCTAGCAACATGTCTGATGTGTGCGTGATGAAGCTTCACCATTCTGGCCTCCAAGGAACACTCTGGTTGTACTTTCTTCAAGATATATCTGTTCTTGTGGAGTCCAGGAGATACTCAGTACTCTTCTCCAGCACCACAACTCAAAGTCGTCAGTTATTCTTCTGTCATGCTTATTCATTGTCCAGCTCTGAGATGCACAGCAAGTGGCTGAAATGACATAGCCTCAATCAGGTGCACCTTAGTCCTTCAACTAACATCATTGCTCCTCAATAATTTAGGGAGGTCCCTGACTGCAGACTTTCCCAGTACAATACCTCTCCTGACTGCTGGTACCATTACATTGATTATGGATCTGAGTAAGTTGAAGTCATTGACAGTTTCAACCTTTTCTCCATCTATCATGATGTTGTCTAGTAGGGAGAATTTTTGTTTTCTTGACGTTGAGATGCAATCCATATTAAAGGCTATAGTCTGCTCTTCTGCAGCAAGTGCTTCTAAGTCCTCCTCACTTTCAGGAAATGAGAAAATTGTGTCATCTGCATAACACAGGTTGTTAATGAGTCTCCCTCTGATCCTGGTGCCACATTCCTTTTCATAGAGTCCAGCTTCTCAAATAATTTTCTTAGCATGCAGATTGAGTAAATACAGAGAAAGAAAACAATCCTGCTGCATTCCCTTCTTAATTTTAAACTATTTAGTGTTCCCTTGCTCTGGGTATAGGTTTTGCATGATCACAAATGTTCTGAAATTCCCATTCTTCTGAATTTTAGTCATCATTTGCTATGATCCACACAGTTAAATGCCTTTGCTTAGTCAATAAAGCCCAAATAAATATTCTTCTGGTATTCTTTGTTTTTATCTGGGATCCAACATTATCTCGCATCAGCATGATACCATGACCTCTTCTAAATCCAACTTGAACTTCTCACAGTTCTTTGTCTATGTACTATTCTAGCTGTTTTGAGATGATCTTCAGAAAAATTTTATTGTGTATGACAGTAATAATATTCAATAATTTCCAATAATTGTGTTGGATCACCTTTCTTGGTCATGGGAACAAATATGGATCACTTCCAGTCTGTCAGCCAGGCCAGTGTCCTCCAAACTTCCTGGCTTAGACTAGTGAGCATGTTCAGGGCTGCATTTGTTAGTTGAAACATGTCAGTTGGTAGGAATCCATCAATTTCTGGGGCCTTATTTTTGCCAGTGCCTTCAGTACAGCTCGAACTTCTTTCATTACCATTGGCTCTTGATCATAAAGTACTTCCTGAAATATTTCGGTGTTGGCCAATTCTTTCTGTTACAGTGGTTCTTTCTGTCACCTTTTGATACTTCCTGGGTCATTCCATATATTGCTCATAACATCTCTAAGTATTGAAACTCAAGGCTTGAATTTATTTTTCAGTTCTTTCAACTTGAGAAATACTGAGCAAATTCTTCCCTTTTTATTCTCCAATTCCAGCTCTGTGCATATTCTGTTATAATACTTTTCTCTGTCTTCTCGAGCTGCCCTTTGAACTTTTCTTTTCAGCTCTTTTACTTCATCTTGTCTTTCATTTGTTTTGGCTTCTCAGCACTCTAGTGCAATTTCTATTCTTTTTTGGCACTTGATGGGAGAGATAGATAAATAATACAGACTAACATGCTTAATGAGGGAAAGAATTATCTGGGAATTGCTGTATCTTTCCTTTTTTTGCTTCTGACCACTAAGTCAAGAAGGACCATTTTCTCTAACCTAGGTGGAAAGCTCAAAAAGCAGGAAGGGATAAGATAGAAGAGTGAATGGAAACAGGAATCACAGTGGAAGTCAGAGGAGCGCTGTTAATCTGCTGCTCAGATTTTGTTGCTTCTCATCCAGATTGAATAAGTATGTTGAAAGAATACAACTCTGCTGCATACTTTTTCTGATTTTAAACCACCAAGTAGTTCTTTCTTTTGTTTGAACTACCTCTTGGTCAATGTACAGGTTCCAAATAAGCACAACCAAGTGTTTGAGAATTCTTATTCTTTATAGTGTTATCGATGTTAGCCATAATTTGTTTTAATGTACACTATTGAGTGCCTTTGCATAGTCAGTAAAAACATAAACTTTCTGATATTCTCTGCTTTCAACCAGTATCCATCTGATATCAGCAATGGTATCTCTTTTTCATGTCCTTTTCTGAATCTGGCTTAATTTCTGGCAGTTCTCTACACATGCACTGCTTCAGTCATTTTAAATTATCTTCAAGATTTTCTTTGTGTGTTATATTAATGATGTTGTTAGGTGCTGTCATGGTGAATATGTCTCATAGTGAACTTGTAAACAACAAATCTGAACCATGTCCATGCTGTGCCATCCTTTCAATCAGTGACACGCTCAAGCCCATTGCTGCAGTCATTAGTCAATCCACACAGCTGAGGGTCTTCTTCTTAACCATCCCTTCTTCACCTTTCCAAGCATCATGTCCCTTTCTTAGGAATAACCTCTCCGACCATTTTCCTGTGTGTGAGACAAAGCTTTGTCATCATCCTTGCCTCCATGTATCACTCTGGCTGCACCTTCACCAAGACATATCTCTTTGTTCTTTTGGCAGTCTATGGGCTATGCAGTATTCTTCTCCAGTACCACATTGCTGATATCATAGATCTTGGTTGAAAGCAGAGAATATCAGAATGTCTATATGTGCTTTATTGACTATGCAAAGGCATTTGACTGTGCAGATCATAACAAATTATGGCTAACACTTAGAAGAATGAGAATCCCAGAAAACTTAGTTGTGCTCATACAAAACCTGCGCCTAGACCAAGAAGATATTGTGTGAACAGAACATGGATCTCTTTCCGTTAATTGACCAGGAGCTGTCTTCTAAATTTCTTGGCATACGTGCATGATGAGCATTTTCAACATTGAATCTGTTTTGTTTTCATTATGCTTTGAGTGAGAGTTGACAGAGCTCTTGGTTTCCCATTCAGTCATTTATACAGACTTTGCTTTATGACATTAGTTGCTGTCTTGGCATTGTAGCACTATTCTTTTTACTTCTACACTATGATTCTTGTTTTAGTTCATTTTTCTGTCCTGTCCCTTCCTGCTTTCTGAGCTTTCTCCCTAGGCTAATACTGCCCTTTTGCTCTTAGGTGATTGATTGTTCTAAGGTAAACTGATTGTCCCTGGTGGTAAAATTAATCTTATAAACATGTCTGTTGTGGTATTAGAGAAGAGTACTGAGTATTGCATGGATTGCCAAAAGAACAAACAAGTCTATCGTGGAGTAATATAACTAGGGTCTAATGTACCTTAGAG